TGCTGGTGAGAAAGGGACAACAGCTGTGGAGAGACACTGGACAATATAGAAGACTCCTGAGCTAAACCAACCAGTTTACTTCAAAGATGTGTTGACCTTGGAATGGAAAACAGGATATATCCTACGTTGGGGAAGGGGTTTTGCTTTTGTTTCTGCAGGAGAAGAAAAGCTATGGATACCAACAAAATTAATAAAGATTTGCTTCAAACAGGAGAAACCTCTTGATGGGGAGAAGTAAAAGCTTATTCACCAATGTGACAACTCTGCAAGTTGTAAGAAAAATTTAACAAACAAGGGTCAGTGCAGGGTTCTGTTTTTTTGTCTTTACAGGACAGTAGAAATGCCCATCTTCAAGAATTCATAAGGCCTTGGACAGCTAAATGTCTACTGCATAAAGGAAGGACCTATTGGTATGAGTATACTCTACAGGGTAATATTTCACTGCCTAACATCAATGTCTCTTTAACTCTAGAAGAGTTGTGGTCCTGATTCAATTATAAATCAAGCTAGCTTTGGAGTTGGAATGTGACTCTCTCTCTAAGGCCAAGCACATTGCTAAAAGAAAAATTAGGAGATTCTGTCTTATATTGGATGAGCCAACTGGTGTGAGATAAAAGAAAACCAATAATCTAGGGACCATTGTTCTCAAGATTCTATTTCTTTCCACGCTTGTCCTTGCTGTCTGAGAATCCCTTCTCAACCCAGCATAAATCTAAACTTTCTATTTTGATATTAATAGTGTTTAAATTTTCCACAGTGAAAAATAATTCTTCCCAATAGAAATCTCTGAAGGCTCCAGAAGGAAGATCAGGCCTCAAAACTATGACTCTATTCGGTCCAGAAAGATACCCTAGTACTTAAGAAAATTACCCAATGATCAACCTTGGACTGAATTCTTCAGGATAGTTCCAAGATGAGATGGTCTGTCATACTACACTTCTAGCCAGAATCTCAGACCCATTAATCTGAGACTGGTTGCAGACTCTACAGCTAGTCCTATTGAGACCTAGCTATCTAAGCTTTCTTACAGGACCCACAGAAATACCATTGCCCCCTAAATGGCAGGGAGCAATTTGAAGAAAACAACAGCCCCCTCCCAAAGGTTTCATTTTTCTCAGTGTTATGGATGGATGGTTATAGGGTTGGGAGTGGAACAATAAAATTTAGACTCAGTATTCTTTAGAAAAGAAAAAAGGGAATGGATAGGTATAGTATATTAAGGTAGATTATTATATCTACTACTGATTTAGCACATTATCAGCCTTTGATAATTTGCAATGATACAGATTCTTGTATATTTGATACAAATGTAAACTATTCTTATGTTCCTATTTCAGATAATTTATATATTGATACAAATACAAAACTATATTTGTTGTATTATATATATTTCTACTCCTGTTTGAAATAGAAAATTATATTTGTCATACTGTATGTACGTTCTACCTCTGTTTAGGATATTTTGTATATTGATACATATTAAGGGTACTGTTGTCATACTGCATATTGCACTATATATTTCTACCTCTGTTTAAGATATTTTGTGTATTGTCACAATTTTGAGGTCACTGTCCTTATATGGTACATCTGCTTACAGACTATTTACCTTGTTAATGTGTAAACTTAGCCCTTAGTTTATTTAGGTAGATAAGACTTACAGAACTATAGTCACTGATGCTTATCATTTCTATAGTTATGTTAGTTAGGCTCTTCAGAATTACAGAAACATATGTTATATGGATACATAATATTCAAACACTTCATAGGTCTAGAGAATATGATATTTAAATGTTTTGATAACTTAGAATTCTGTTGATGTGAGACATGATTGCTCCTGACAGCACAGATCTGACCCCGAGAGAATGTTGGGCTTCTAAGACATTTCCATTTGAAAGTTTGTCTTCTTCTTGGCACAAAATGGCCTGCTGGGCAAAGAACTGCCCTTGCCTTGACTGCTGACAGTATGAATGCTGTCCTTTTTGGATGAACAGGATACAAGGAAAAGCGACTACTGAACCTTATCAAGATGAGATAAGATGGCCTTTCAAAATTCCTGATTCTGAAAATGGTCTGTCAGATATTCTAGACCTGTAGCCAAATTGGATGCCCAAAGATGCTGAGAAATTTTAAGTGACTGTCCAGGCTGCTGGCTGTGTCTGTCTATTCTGGGAAGAATTTTAGAAATTGCTTGCTTGCATTTTCCATTTTCTCAGATATTATTATCTTCCTTCTCAGGTCTTTGATGGAGTTGAAGACTAGATAGTTACAGTTACAATCTTCTTGTATCTTAGCTAGAACATATTAAGTACTAGAGTTAGAAACTTCAGGATAGGACAGCTATTGGGGTAATCTCGGTAATTTGCCATTTACCTATGATCTGGACATTTCTGGACATTTGGTCTGTCTTTCTTGTTTGATGTTGTTCTTGTTGGTTGTAGTTCCATTTTTGTTTATGTTATTACCCTTTGTTTTTCCTGGACAACGCTTGATAATTATTCTTTTTGTTTTTTTTTTTTTTTCCGAGACAGGGTTTCTCTGTGTAGCTTTGCGCCTTTCCTGGAGCTCACTTGGTAGCCCAGGCTGGCCTCGAACTCACAAAGATCCGCCTGGCTCTGCCTCCCGAGTGCTGGGATTAAAGGCGTGCGCCACCACGCCCGGCTGATAATTATTCTTATTGTATATAGTTTGCATAAAGTTTAGAACCTTCTTATTTAGACAAAAAGAGGAAATGTGGTGGTATTTGCTCTGCCTATGAACTTGGCCTATAGGGCCTGAAGGAGGTGGAGCTTCTTGCCCTTGCATGTGACCTCTTAAAAGGAAAGGGAGAAGGCTCATGAGCCCCTTCTCCTTGCTGCCTACTTCCTGGTATGATCGAACTGCCAGGTGGATTCACTCCCAGTCAAATCAGAGGATAACTTCAGCTGTCTACTCCATTCTCTATAAGTGAGTGTATTTCTTCAATTTACCCTAATAAATTTTCCTAATACTCCTTAAGCAGACTTCCATGGATTTATTGCATTCCAGGATTCTTATATATTCATATATATTTATTTTTCAGTCACCTCAGCTATCAGAGGAAAACAAACTGAAACTACTTTCAGATTTCACTTACCCCAATCAGAAGGGCTAAAAATAATTTAACAAATGACGTCATGGTCTGTTTTCCCCCCTCACATTTTTACTTACTGATAGTTATATCTGTGCTTAACTTGGGGCAGAATGTGTCAAAACTGTTAAGAAAGGAACGTATTAATTATGTACATAGTTACCATTTGTATTTATGTGTGATTGTGCTTGTGCATGTATATGTGTGTGCATGGGTATGTGCCTTGACTCTCATGTAACTTTTATTATATAACACACATTTTAATAACTATAGCTAGTATGTTACACATTGCTTGAAAGTTTTAACTTCTAAAACATTTTCAAATTTCTTTATTCTACAACCTCCATCCACAGCCACTTTAACCTCCTTTCTCCAAAAGTAAATATTATACAATTCAAAATTTTAAATGAGAGCAAGAAACATTTATCTTTCTTTACCTGGCTTACTCAACTTAGCACAATGAATTGTTTCATTCACGATGACACACAGGGCAATATTTTCTATTCTAAGCCTGGATAACATTAAATTTGTTGGGATACATTATTTTCTTTACCATTTTCTCTGTAGTGAAAACCTGGTACTTTTATGTCATTGCTGTTGTGAATACCACTGCAGAAAAATGGAAGTAAAAATAACTCTTTGAGATCTAAATTTCTTTACTGATAATAATAATTAAGAAGTGAAATTTATGGAACGAATGGAAAAAATACTATTAATTCTTTGAAGAATTTGTAGACATCATTACAAATGTATTTGGGGTATTCTTTTTTTATTTAAAAAAATTGCAACATTTATTTTTCAATCCCCTGAAAGTATAAAACGGCTTACAAAATCAAGGGAAATATTTTACATGTCAAGACATACATGCTGGATATGAGTTATATGGATATGGATATAGAAGCACCAGAACTCTTTAAAGTGTACAAAACTTGTCTGAACACAGATGTGTCTCTTATGAACTACTACATTCAGTTTGTGGGAAGAAACAGTACCACAAGGTCAGCAATATTCAAGAAGTATCTGAACTGCTTCTAGCTTTTAACAAAATAGCAAATACTGCTTTTTGATTTTTATACAAACCACCTACATTTTAGGTTCCAGTTTGAAGTGTTGCCTCATCCCATGACAGGTAGCATGAGAACTACTTTTGGTTATGATGCATTTTAAGCTATTCCATATATGTCACATATGATAGGCATTTAGTGCCCTAATAAAGTAATTAGGACTTTTCAAATATTCTGCTACAATTTCAGGCAACGGTTGTTATTATGAAGTTGGAAGTAAACACCAGAATTTCTTGGTTTACAAATCAAAGCTATGATAACAAAGAATTCCTCTTCTAAGACCACGTGGTCAATAAAGGTGGCAAAGCAGACCAATGTCTGCATCACCCGAACTGCGCTAGCCCAGCTGTCTTGGATGACCTGATGAGGTTGAGGAAGGGACTTTACCTGATTCTCCGGTCCTCTCCCACCCTCTAGGGTTACTCTAAATAGCTTATACAAAATCACATAATTCACACTAACACAAACTCTAGAAGATGAGCCCCAAATGACACCTACATTAATGTTCATTTTCAATGTATTAAAAAAATTGTTGTGCTTTTCACAAAGCTGATGAAAATTTTCATGTGAAATATTTTATTTCTTGGTTTCCTTGGAAGGAAAAATAAAGACTACAAAAAGAAGTACACTGGAAGTCAGACTGTAAGATAACATTACACATTCAACTAGCCAAAAATCTCTTTAATTTAAAGGATACTGTCATCACATGCCAGGTATTTATACAGAGACATATGTACGAACAAAATTTCCTCCCTAAAAGCCATGTATTTTTCCATGATAACTTTACAGTAACCAGAATAGAAATCAATGCCTTTACAGCCTGCCTGCTTACCCACTGAATACGCTTTTAGAATTAAAGTACATTATTGCCACTCAAATCTAAACATTGCACTTTTAGGGAACTGTGCTTAAAAATGGCTCAGTGATTTGTTCAGTATGAGGACTATTTACAAAGGTAGCCATTTATGTTAGCAATAAATAATCCTGGAATCGACAGAGCGATCTGGCTCATGCACACCCTGGCTGGCTGCATGCTACTAAAATATGTACACCGAGCGGCTGCTTCCCAGCTCTCCTTCAGGGTCAAAGTGCGTTCCTCTCCTCTCCACACTCCCTTCAGTCTTGCTTCTGGGGGGATGCATCCTTCCAACTCGATCACCTCAGGCCATCCTTCGTACTTGTTTGTATCCTTATTGCTCTTTATGTGCTGTTCAAAGGGGCTTTTTATCTTAATGCCCTTCCCACCACAGAAGACTCAGTTATCTGGAAAACCAAGGCTGGTGATGGACCTACTACCCAGCTCAGCAATGGGCCTCCACGCCTCATCAGTAAGTTTGGTTGTTCCATCGTCGTGTGTTGCCATTAACACGACTGTTCCATCTGGTATGTTCTTCAGAAACTCAACGAACGGTGCCACATCCCCTCCCCACATGTCAAAATATTTGGTGTCTAGCACTCCCCCTGTTTTCCCATTTACCAAGGCAACATTTATTCCTCTTCCAACATTGTTCTTAACACCACTCATCAAAACGTTGTCTTCTAGGCAGATCTTGGGCCCCACGACATTGGCAGCTCCACTGGCCATTTCAAAAGCAAAATGCTTCTCAGGGCATGCTTTTGAGATTCCACATTTGTACCTGGGAGGCTTCGTAGAGTGAGTGGCTGAGTCCAGCACAGACTGAGCAAATAGATTTCCTAAGCTTGCATCCATTTTAATTTCAAATACTTGAGAAATAACACAAAATGTCAATACAAATACTGCAGCAGCCACCATCAACTTTGCAGCTCCTGCTACCCTCATTTTCGCTTTTTCAATCTATGGCACGTCTCAGAAATAAGGTCAGTTTCAGAGGGTAGTCCATGATTATCACAGTGGAAACAGATAGGCTGGGGCACTGGCAGAGAACTTTACATCCTGAGCCACAGGCAACAGGCAGAGAACAAGAGTATTTGGGGTATTCTATTTAAAATCAGAATAAATATAAAATGATTCATAATTTATAAGGATGTCTGATCCAGAAAATATGATAAGACCTTATAATCAAATATTATGGCAGTACTCTAATTGATATAGTTGTTCAGTATTACAGATAGACTTCTGTTGTTCATTTTATTTGGGTAGTAGCAAATACAAATTCTACCAAAACAAAAGAGTTTACAATGCAATGAAGAGTCACACTATCCTGACAGATGCCTGCACCCTATAGAATTATTTTTATGTTATAAACATGAATAAAACATCACAAGAAGGGTTCATGCTTCCACGGGTATATGGAAAAAGCTTCACAGAAAACCATGGGATTTTCTCTTAAAATTAAACTATCAACTTTATGATCATAGTAACTCATTTTTATAGCTGAAAAAACCATTACACTAGTCACTGATATTTTGACTGGATCTCTGTTAAGAGAATATATAAATAATATACTTGATTGTTAGTTTTCACTGTTATTGTATTTAAAAGCTGTCTTCTCTCAAAGGTACTATCTAGATAGTGAGCTTTATCCTGAGGATAAAACCAACCCAGGTTAATGTAAGATTTAAAAATTTCTTACTATCTAAAAATATTGGCTTGGTGATGGTGGCTTACATCTTTAACCCAGATGTCACACCAGAGAGAAGAATTCTCCTAGGTTCAGAACAAATGAGTGACAGAGCACTGTCCTATTTTAGGACTGAGCAGACTCCCAGCAGACTCTCCCATGATCTAAATCTCATGAGCCCATGGGTGTTGCTGATCATGCATAAAACTCCCAGGCTTCCTGGCATCCCTCAACAGGAGCACTGAAAGGTCTGTGTTGAGACAACAGGGTTTTCTGATGATAAACAACAAAGGATCATGTATGTATCTTGCTATTTAGGGAAATTATATCACATTTTGTTTTCCTCCAAACAGCTAGTAGACATTACTAAAAATTATAGCATTGGAAATTCATGTGATTGACAAAATCTTTCCAAAGATATTTTCAATCTTCTAACAATGTATGCTTTCTCTGTCACAAACTCCAGTAGTTCTGGGTTTGCTTTGACTGGTTTCCCTGGTTTAGAGATTTATTACCTCTGGATCTCTGTCCCCATCTCCATCATCTATGTGACAGTGTTCCTGGGAAACTGCATGGTGTTGCATGTGATCCGGACTGAGCCAAGCCTGCACCAGCCCATGTTCTATTTCCTGGCCATGTTAGCCCTCACAGATCTGTGCATGGGGCTGTCCACTATCAACACAGTCCTGGGTATCCTTTGGGGCTTCATTCAAGAGATCAGTCTTGATGCCTGCATTGCACAGTCTTATTTCATTCATGGTTTGTCCTGCATGGAGTCCTCTGTCCTCCTTGCCATGTCCTTTGACCGCTACATTGCCATTTGCAACCCTCTACGCTATTCCTCTATCCTAACCAATGACAAAATAGTGAAAATTGGAGTGGCCATCTTATGTAGGAGCTCTATGCTCATTCCTCCAGTCATCATCCGCCTGAAGTTCTTAAATTACTGTCGGCCTCATTTCCTCTCTCACTCTTTCTGCCTGCACCAAGACTTAATTCGAATGGCCTGTTGAGATATCCGTTTCAATAGCTTCTATGGTCTGGCTTTGGTAATTTGCACCCTGTTGTTGGATTCTGTGCTCATTTTTGTGTCCTATGTTATGATTCTGCACACAGTTCTATCCATTGCTTCCCAGGAGGAGAGAATCAAGTCCTTGCAGACTTGTGTATCTCACATCTCTGCTGTTTTGGTTTTCTACATCCCCATCATTGGTCTGACCATGGTTCACCGCTTTGGGAAGCACCTCTCTCCACTGGTTCATGTCCTCATGGGCAACATCTACATCCTTTTCCCACCCTTGATGAACCCCATTATCTACAGTATCAAGACTCAACAGATACGAGCAAGGATTCAGAGATTGTTCCTGAAAGGAACCTAGGATCTTAAATCTGCTGTGAATATATATTTGAAAGTCAACTTGAAGATTTACAAAGGGTGAAATTCAGTAAGTAACTGTGTTACCTGGTGTTTAATGATGTTTCACATGTTGTAAATTTTCTCCTTTCCTTTTCTCATAGCTGCTTTTAAGCCAGTGCAAATGACTTCGATAGCACTGTAGTTAACTTTACAAACTAGAATATGTAAAGGAAATTCACTCAGAATCATCTTTTTAACCTGTTTTCAACTTTTAAAACTTGAATTAAACATTTATATTACTTCCACTTTTCTTTATATATCAAGTTGACTTACTCATAAATTCCATATCTTATGTGGCCACTTGCACATGTGTACTTCTTTTTACATTCATTAGGAAACTGATATTTTTTGGTTTATAGCCTTTGATGATTATTATAGATCAGCAATTATCTTAATCTATTTTTGTTCATCTAAGCAACATATTAATGGAATAAATGAAATCCCAATTATTTCAGCCACTTAGCACATAGTAAATGAGCAGCCTGTGAAACTGGACTGTTTAGTCACTTAACCGTTATTAAATAAACAAAAGAAGCAATTTCATTGCTATGTTGTCCAACACTCCACAGCTTCACAGGTCACCACCCTATAGATGGTAACAGAGATACTCATGAACATATGAATAAAGACTAACACAGGAAGACCATTTAAATCATACAAAAATATTCTTTGATTCATATTTTCTCTTTCTTAAATCTCCAGTAATAGTTACAACATTGCTGTGACTATGTAACAGAAATTACCTACTAACTTAACATCTCCTTAAAAACTCTGAGGTAGATATTATTCTTTATTCTTTAAATGGACTTTCAACCAGCCACATCAAATTTTAGGGTGCATTGTATGAAAAGAGTTGGATATATTTTATGCTTTGTTTATTTTCAAGTCACATGACCGTGCTTTCCTGCCTCCCTTGTGGGCCTCTTTTAGTTCAAACTGGTCTGACAGTTGCTATAAAACATTTAACAATAAGCAGAAGTTGACAAAACACCAAAATGAACAACATATAAGGTAGGTAACATTCCTTTGTTAATGTAACCTTCCTTAAAATATTCATATTATTTATAATAAAAACATTATAAACTGCTATGTTCAACATTCATCCAATAATTTAAAGCACAATTATTGAAGTACAATCACAAAGAACCTTATAATTATAAAATGTAGATATAAAACCTGATGAGTATGTTGGAAACTATTTACCACCATGAACCTATTACCATGGCTGTATCAGAGTTTCCCACATGCGATTGCACTCCCTCAAATTCACAGCCACACTTATTTCTAGCTTACAGTTTCAGTGTTAATAAGGTCACGTAAATTACATAGTACCAGTTTAGCTTTTTCTTCATCCTTTATTTCACTTACAACAATGTTCCTCAGATAGTTAACAAAAGCTATTGGGGTCCAGCCCCTCAATAGCCTTCACCCAGCGTTCCAGAAGAGACGCAACTGGTGGTGGATTAATCTGAGAGATACTCTAATAAATCTACATACAAAAAATTCTTTAGTCCATTCATTGTATTCTTCTGAGTCAGTTCTCTCTCTGCTTAGCTTCTATTCTGCTCTCATGCCTAGCTCCTTCCTTGCTGGATTTCTCTCTGCATTCATCTGCTGTACCCTCTAAAGGTTATCTTAATTCCTTCATCTTATTTCTGCCACATCTGGCTCTTCCTCATCTTCCGTCTCATCCTTCTAGTTCTTCATCTAGTTTTCCAATAAAATTGTCCTTTTAGTCTCTGAGGTTTACAATTATATATCCATGCAATGGCAATGCTCTGGTTAAGGCAAGGTCACTAGGCTTGAATTCCCTCAGGGTCAAAAGGAGAGGCAATAAGATCCACACAAAAGAACAGTAGTTGTCAGCCATCATTCATCTGCAACCCAAAAGGAAAGTGACTAATGGGGAATAGAAAAAACTGAGGGCTAAATTCGGTTAATATCTGAGTAAGGGGCTTTTTATGTAGTCAACTATATTCTTAGAAGTGGTTAGTTAGTGTTAGGAGTCTATCAGTGACAAGTGAAAATAAAACTGCCTTATTTTCCTTTGGCCCCTTATCTGTCCAAGCTGTCTTGGTTTCTGCTAGTTTTCTGGCAGGGTGGGGGTATGCATTCCATACCAGGACAGCCTGAGTCAGCTTCACGTACCGTACCTGTAAGTAGAAACCCTTTAGTTCTGAATTAATAGTTAAAGGTAGATCTAAAACTAGAGATAAGACTTCGAAAAGGGAGAAAGTTAAACTTAATTAGCACATCCACCAGGCCTTCTCAAACAGATAATCTGGGTGCTTAAGTTTGTTCTTACAGAGTACAGAGGTATCTTTGATAAGATACTTTCATCCATCTGTAGATGGTCCTGGCCGGATGCTGCTAATGACAATAATTACAGAGAGGCTTAAACTGGGGTTCTGACTGTGTATAGTTGTCAGCACAGAAGGTTATCTAAATATTCCATTCATAGAGGGGAAATGGTACCCAGTAAATGATGGAAAAGCTACAATAGCACGCGAGGAATTCATAAAAGGAGACAGCTAATAATCAAAAGTTAATATTACCAAGACTTCTTGAGCCTTGGCCTCATCCTCTGAAGAGTTCTTAACTCCTCTAGGTATAGCTTTGTGATAATCAGCTGAATTCCTACTTCTTATATTTTTTTTGTGGCTTGCAGCAGTTATGACAATCTCTTACTAACTGAAAGTTCTGATTTTAAATATTTATAGCTTTATAATTATTATTGAAAAGAGCCTCACAAAAGAAGACAATTACATTCTTTGTAATAAAATGTACAAAACAGACTTCTTAGGAACATAACTTATAATTCTTAGCCTTAATCTTCAGAGCAATGCTAAGGATAGTAAATCATAAATCTCAACATC